GCGGTTCGGCACGGGTCGCCACGCGCACTGGCGCGCTTTCTCTCCGCAGTCCCGACGCTGGTAACTGTGCTTTTACCACAGTTTGTGGCGTAATGCACCAAAGAGATCTCTACCCAGCTCGTACGGATCTAGCAGCAGACTAATGGTTGACGCAAGTCTCCACTGGTGCCATCATTCTGATACACTGACACCAGATTTCATGTTTTAAGATCTTTGAGCTGATGGGTTCTGGCCGGAGGGCCCTGCTAGACTGCGGCGCGAGGTTTGGTTGAAAAATAATGAAACTCCAGGATTCCCGATACGTCTGTGTGTAAGCATAGACTTTAATAACTACTAATGAGTCTGGCTTTGTTTTTAATCTACTTTTATAACATAAAGGGAAATATTACCCAGGATGACTTCACTGTTATGCGAGGCGGCGAGCTCTGGTCTGTTATGTGACCGTTTCTTCCATCCCCGGTTAATAAAAACAGCATGGGGAGGAATGTTTTGATTAAGGAGCCTAAGCACATAACTGCACTCGGCTTATTAAAGTGGAATTTATCTCTGGGCATCCTCGCATCGTGATGTTTTTTTCCTCAACATCATGCTGTATTAACGGGGTCGCCTCATCCCGTCTCGGTTTGCGCTGAAGGAAAAATGATCCGGCATTTCAACCGCAGGCTCACTGAGAGAGCGGCGCGATGGATGAGCGGTACAGCGGCGCGTGCAGCTTTACCCCCGGCTTGGAGCGACTCCCGGCCCTGCAGCGCTCGCGCTGGCCCGGGAATTTCCCAAGGTGCAACTTGGCGTTTCGGCTGTTGTTGTTCGCCTTTTTTTTTTTTTAAAGAAAAGGCTGTATAGATCCTCCTATATGACTTTTGTAAGTACATTTCTTATTGCACGGGGGGAGAACAATATATAAGAACAGGAAACAATTTCACATTTTTAACCGAGATATAAACGGAGAGAGGGGGTCTAACCTAACGCATCTCCCGAAATTAAAAGGTTATGTCCAATAGATCTTCTTAATTATAATTTTTGGTTCTATTAATTTATTTGTATAATAGTTATATCACAATTTGTGGCGTTTTACAGAATCGTAGGATAGTTGTTTGTTCATCTGCATTTGCAGACTGCTAGTATGAGTGATTAGCTCAAACAACACGATATCCACCGTTCGATTATTACTACTGAGTTATCGCCAGCAGCCCTGTCACCCTGCAATTCTCAACTGGCAGTTTACTGAAGCTCAGCAGATGTGAGCCTGGTCAGTACCTAGAGGGGAAGACCTCCTGAGAAAAACCAAGGCTGTTGCTTAAAGAGGTGTTAGTGGGACCAGCAGGGGGCGCTCACCTGTGTGGGTCCTAATGCCCCAGTATAGTGATGGGGAGACTATACTGTAAAATAATAATAATAATAATTGCTTACACTTATATAGCGCTTTTCCGGACACTCCACTCAAAGCGCTTTACGAGTAATGGGGATCCCCTCCACCACCACCAATGTGAAGCATCCAAATAGGCGCCGTCTTTCTGATGAGACGTAAAACCAAGATCCCGACTCTCCGTGGGGACTCTCCAGGGGCGTTTCTTGAAAACAGTAAGGGTGTTTCCCTGGCATCCTGGCCAAATTTCCCATTGGCCTTTACCAATCATGGCCTCCTAATAGCGCTTTAAGAAGACACCTTTAAAGGCACTATATAAAATAAAGTTTATTATTATATATATAATAATACCCATCTCTGAACTGGCTTCATTACTCTGCTCTCCTCCCCACTGATAGCTGGTGTGTGGTGAGCGTTCTGGCGCACTATGGCTGCCGTCGCATCATCCAGGTGGGGCTGCACATTGGTGATGGTGGAGGGGAGTCCCCACTACATGTAAAGTGCTTTCTGTTGAAAAAAAGAGCTAGATAAGCGTAAGGATTAGTATGATTGAGAATTTTCGTTGTCTTCTAAGCACAACGTAACTCGAGTACCAACTGGAGCTCCTGGAGGTGTAATACCAACATATGTCCAGACGGTGGCAGCAGACGCTAGTCTTAAAAGAAAGTTTACAGACCGTCGTTTCCACGTCTCTTCTTGTTGAACTCTAAAAAAATAATGGTTTTGTCGTGCACATTTTGGAAATCGAATCGAAAGCCTCGTCGTCAGCATTATCACAGAGCCATAACATGTTTGACAACATGGAAAATCAAGAATAACGGTAGTTCTATTATTATCATTATTATTCTCACTCCATATCTTAATGAAAGACGGGGGGGCTACATCCGATAAGATTCACAGCGCGTTCTCGTTTAGTTTATAACAGGCGGCTTGTCGGCGAGCGAAGTGTTTATAACCATTATCAATCGGCCAGGAATAAAGCACTGATGTCCTAACTAGCTAACTTTAAACCTTCAGAAATTCTGTTCTGACCCTGAAGAGAACAGGACTGGACATTTGGGAATATACCAATGCAATAGGTTATCTCCAATTTTGTTGGGAGACCACTAAGGCTATCTTTCAATATTTTTTCTAGTGTCTTCTACGCAGGTCTCACGTGTGTAGTTCCCGATTTCTTAGTTTTAATGAATTCTTCTCTCTGCATGCTTCAGTTTGATCGGACAGTACCAATTATTACGTTTAAATCAGCCTTTACCACGTTAAGCCATAGCTAGGTTGAATGCAGAACAAGTCTTCAGCATTTTTACACAATCGACTCGCCCTTAGACGCCAATTAACAGGGCGCTTGGAATTCAAACCTCCGCTTGATGGGATTTAGATCAATCAGTAACTTAAGTTTGAACCGCTTTGATCACATTGGGGGAAAAAATACTTTCTTATCATTTTAATTTGTTGCCTTTCTCGCCTCCTTTCAACTGTTAACAGGCCAGAAACGTGGGGTTCACACAGTTTGTCGGAGTTAAGATTTGAATTCCTTGGAAAAAATACCATTACACAACTTGGCGACCACAGTACTCAACAGACCGAAACCACGCTCAGAGGCGTGGGGGGAGGGGGTTATTTAACTGCAAATCCTTCAGTGAGGAGAAATAGCCCATCGCCCTCTGGTTTAGAGAACAATGGCTACAGAATAATCGTTTCAAACACAACTGGAATAAAAAACAAACAGCCCGTAAGACACATGCGGATAAAAGCCCGATAACCGTGGCTCCGCTGGCGAAGAGCTCTGAGAGGAGGCTGTGTCGGTAAACCCCCCGCTCGTCAACTCCACCCCACGGAAAGCCCGCTGTTTACATGTTGGAAAGCATGTGCTTCTGGGTACACCCTCCAGCACCCCACCCCCTCTCCTGCCCTCGCAGGCTCAGGCGCTGCCCCTCCCCCACGGCCGCCTACCGCTCTCCCAGCCCTCCAGCGCCGCACAGGGAGGGGCCCGCAGGAGCGCGAGGTCTCTGCCTCTCATTCATAATCCGCCCGCCCAGGAAAGAGAACCCCGCACGAGTATCGGAGACTCGGCTGTCACAGCGCCTAACATCTCTCTGACCACGATGTCACCGAGCTGTGATACACTAGCTGGACCGTGCTCGCGTTTCGCACACACTCCTGAAGGTGTGTGTCTGCGTAGGAGCCGCACAAGACAAAACGGTGTTTGGAAATTTGCGGGCCAGATCACGTCGTTGCGTTTGGCACCCGTCAGGTAGCACACAAGCCTGAAAAGTGGGTGTCTTTTTCCGCAGTGTCCTCACTGCAAGAGTTAAGGCATTATCTGGTTACTTCATGCTTCATGCTTAATGCATAACCCATGCTCAAGAAGGGTTACAAGAGAGAGGAGGCCATTCAGAACATCTAGAACGTTTGTTAGTAATTCATGGATCTTTTCTTCTAAAAGGTCAGGGTATCGTTTGTTTGGCTTGTTCCACACCCCCACCCCCCTTTTGTGTAAAGAAGCCCCAGATCTAAATGCTCTCGCAGGTAGCTCTCTCGGTGTCGGCTGAGGAAGTTCACCGAGTTGCCTTGGGCAGGTCTACATGGACACGGACCTACCACGTATGTTTTTAAACACGGGAGTTCCCAGCAGATAAAACAGCAGCCAGTGCGAGCTGACCGTGACCCTGGTTACAGGGCTGCCTCTCCGTTCTGCAGGTGTATGTGCGAGGGTGGAGGGGGCAACAGCGCAGTTCACAATGAGAGGAGCCGGGGTGCTGCTGGATTGTGCTGGTTTCACTGGGATCGTCGACGGGACTCCCGCTGGATCAGTACGGAGCTTTACCCCTTGGCAGTGTCCGGGGCAGGGAGGGGCAGACAGGACAATTAAACCCCAGCCTGCCTACCCCTGGTGGACTTTCACTCAGCGAGCGAGTGGTGAAACTCCTAAATGGCCAGTCTGCACTTTCAGAGGAGTGCCCAAAGGCAGGCGAGTTGCTCTGTGAAACACGAAACATCAGCCTCCTTTCTTACGTTCGTATTACACAAAGGGCAGCGGGAGAGTGGAACAAACTCAGAACAAGAACCTTGGCTTTTTTTTTTTAGAAAACAGCTGGGTTAGATTATGAACTTAATTAACTGGACTAGAAAGCCTGTCCTTTTAAAATATAGATTTGAACCCGTTGTTTTGGTTGTCCTCGAGGCTGGGCTCCCAGGTACTTAATTGAACTGAAAATGGCTGGGACAACATGCATGTATCTAAAAACCCACAGTGGTGCGTTTTGTTATTGCGTAAAAAAGCTTTCTGATACTGTATTTTAAAAAAATAACAGTATTTAAAACAGTTATAGACCATTTTCGCTTTTTAAAGAATGTAATAATATAGTAATGCAATATCATTTGTGACTGATTTCCAAAAAATCTCCAAACGCTAGAAAAGAGGCGCAAAAGGGTAGAAAAGGATGACATCCGCTTCATAAATACTAGAACCACAGCAAGCACGGTTTGCTAATGGCGCCTTTTCCGCCAAAAAGAAAATCCTCCCTCCTGTACAGACTTTGAGCCGTTCCGTAAACGGTACAACCTACCCAACTTGACCCCACCCAAATACCCGCCCCCAAGCTCCATTTCCATTGGATGTTACTGGCAACTCAGCGGACATTCAGAGTGATGATTGGATACAATTCCGCTTCCATCTCGCTACACATTCCAAACCCACGACCAACGACACAACCAGACTGAACTCGTAAGGACATCCTCCAGACAAATCCGATTGGCTGTCGTAGTAGCAGGGCGCTCCCTGATTGGCGAAGAGGGCTTTCGCTCTTCCCTCGGTGCTGTGGCGCCGCGGGGTTTGGTTGCACCGTCTCTAAGTTGATGTCAGCCCCTCAAGAACCCCAAGAAACTCCTCCCGTCAGAACATAATGAGTGGTAAGAAACTTTTTTTCGTTGTTTTAAAGACGAAAATTAAAGAAAGAAAGAAAATGAAATATAAAAGCTCCGCAACTTTAGAAAATAATGAATAAAACCATAAAGTCGTATTCTAACAAAAACCCGCTGAAGTAGAAAGAGGTCTGGGTTTCGTGAGGACTGTTCTTTTTTAAAGTTTTTTTTAGCCTCAAGATTAAACAAGCTGGGTTTTCCGTCGTTCCACTTTCACTGAGGACTGGGGTGACCCTAAAAGTTCGATGTTTAATTGGATCAGGCTGAAGAGGAGTTTAAACGGGGGGGGTAGCTCGTCGAAACGGACACTTAAGAACAGCCGTTCATCGTTACTACTTTCCTTTCGACAAATAACAACAAAGAGCAGATTTAGCACGAATAAAAAAAACAATATGATCTCAGATAACACTCGGAATATCTCCCCCACATTGCTTTTAATCTCTGGCCGTGGATCACTGCGTTTACTGGCGTAAAACAAAACGCTAAAACATGTGAGGAAAAAGAAACCCAGGTACACCCGGATCAATTCTCGATTTTTTTTGGTTGGAGCGATACTTTTTTTTTTTTCCGTGGTCGTTTTGGCACGGTTGCGGATTCGACATAGGAAACCCGATTTCTTTTTCTTTTCAATTAATATTCCGCCGTTGGCTGCCTAGTATTACCCCCTTCCGCGCTGTGTTTTTCCTCCCTCTCCCTCAGATCAGGAACAGCCGCGAGACGAGATGGCTGCCCTGGCCGAGAGCGGCGGCGCCGCTTTCCTTCAGAGCCTCGCGAAGAGGAGCGCGAGCTCGGGGCAGGTGAGCGGCGGCTCCTCGCCGGTCTCCGCGTTCGCGTCGGGCCCGCGAGGGGCGAGAGCGCGAGGGAAGAGCTGTGTTGTTGTGCTCTGGGGAGGGAGAGGACCGCGGCCGGTCTGCGGCGGCGGCGGCGGCGGCGGCTCCGGCGTTGTTGCTTGACCCGGGGAGGCTGGTGGTGTGTTTGCGTGTGTGGCGGCGATGGGGGGCCGGGTTTGTTGTCGCTCTCGCCCTGCGCACATGCTTGTTTTGAAAAGCGGGGCGTGCGGAGCCGGGGTGTTCCCGTCGCAGGCTCCGCTCTCTCAGAGCGGTCCGCACAGCCCACTGGAGGCTTGGCGCTGGAGGGGGAACGGACAGGGGGGGGAGCGAGCGCGGGTGGGTGGAGAGGTGGGTACGCGTGGGCCGCCCTTTTCGCCGGCCGTGGTAACCCCACCCACCCCGGTGTCTGTTGCAGGACTCCCAGCAGACCTCCCCGCTCGCTCTGCTGGCGGCGACGTGCAGCCGGATGGAGTCTCCCGGCGAGGGCGAGCAGGCGGGCTCGGAGCCGCCGCCGCCGCCGCAGCAGCAGCAGCAGCAACAGCACCAGCACCAGCAGCAGCTGGACCTGAACTCGGCCCAGATCGCCCACACGGCCAACGGCTGGCAGCTCATCCCCGTCAGCGTGCCCAGCTCCGTGGGCGCCACCACTCTCAGCCAGGCCGGGGGGCTGGGGGGGGACGCGGGCAAGGGCAGGCCGGCGGTGGCCACTAGTGCCGGGGGCGGCCAGCAGCAGCAGCAGCAGTTCGTGGTGGCCTCTGCGCCCACCCTGCAGGGCCAGCAGGTCCTGACCACCCTGTCTGGGGTGATGCCCAACATCCAGTACCAGGTCATCCCCCAGTTCCAGACCGTGGACGGGCAGCAGCTGCAGTTCGCCACGGCGACGGGTGCCTCTGCCCAGGTGAGCATGCAGCAGGACTCCGCGGGGCAGTTCCAGCTGGTCTCGTCCCCCGGCGGCGGCCAGCAGATCATCCGGGCGGCGGGGGGCGCGGGCGCGGGCGGGGGCAACCTCATCGCCATGCCCAACCTGCTCCAGCAGGCCATCCCCCTGCAGAACCTGGGCCTGGGCAGCAACCTCCTGCAGAACCAGGGCTCCTTCCTGGCCAACGTGCCCCTGTCTCTCAACGGCAACATCACCCTGCTGCCGGTCAGCGCCGGCGGCCAGGCCGCGGCCGGCGGGGCGGGGGACGCGGGTTCGGGCGCCTCCCTGCAGCAGCAGCAGCAGGTCCAGCAGGCCGTGTCCAGCGCCGCG